CAAGCCAATGTGCTCATCACCCACCTTCAACCATTAAGAACACAGTCAATTTTATCTCATTTATATTCTCACAGCCCTTGTCCTCCACTGTCACAGAATTATATTAAAGCAAATCTCAGATGTCATATCATTCCCTCCTAAAATAATTCAGTATATATCTCTAAAAGATAAGGGATCTTTAAAAATATAACCATAATATTTTCAAACCTAAAAAAAATTAAGAAAACAGCATTCTCTTAAAGTAGAGAGCTGGAGATTAAGGGCTTTAGTGCATGAATCCAGGAATGGTATGCCAAGTTTGTAACACACATATGAACAATTTTTTTCTTAGTTGATAGCACTCATCAGAATGTCAAGAAGCTTGAGACTCAAAACATTAAAAGACTTTCTGCCCTTGGTTATAGTTGTGTGTGCTTAGTGCCACCTCACCTCACATTGCCAGGAAGGATTAGTCAAACAGGGAAACAAATCTACTTAAAATAACTTAGAAATCAAGCTGAATTCTACTCAGCGTGTACTGAGCATACACTAGGAGCAAGACACTGGGTTAGATCTTGAGAAACAAAGGTGAATTTGACCTGGTTAATTTATAGTGTAGAATGAGAACGGGCCAAACAGATTATTAATAATAACTATAATAGAATGTGATGAGAAAGGTGTTTGCTTTAGGTATTTTCATGGGGATCCAGATGAAGAAGCAATGATGTTAACTCAGAGGAGAGTAAGAGGGGGTAAGAGGCTAGGGTCTGTTCGAAGAGAGAATTAGAGGATGCCCACAATGGTACCAGCAACTATGCTGCATAGCAATACCACCCCTGTGCAAAGATTTTACTTATCCCCCTTGCTGAGAGACATTAATAAATGTGTTTACTAATGTCTATGCTCCCCTCACTGGATAGCGTGTTAGAAGTGAACACGAAAGTTGACGGAAAGAGGTAATATGGAAGTAGGATCTTGAAAGTAGAGCAGTTTATCAGATCTGGGGAGGAGAGAATTCCATGAAGGGAGGACATTCTAGGAAGAGACAAGCAGGAACAAAGGGGTGGCAATTACTGGCAGGTTAGGGAACCAGCAGTGCGGTGACCTTACTGCAGACTGTGTGGGAGGGGCTGGCTGACCGGAAATGCCTGCTGGGACCACAAGCTGGAGCCTTCCAGATCAGACCTGGGCCTCTATTCTGTGGCCAGTGGAGAGCCATGAACAGGATGATGGGTGCTCCATGTTTATTGAACTGGGAGTTCCTCAAATTAGCTGGATGGGGAGAGGTGAGAGAGAAGCAGGCTACTTAGGAATCCACTGCAATAGGCCAGGAAAGGTTGAGGGAGGTAGTAGTAAAAGTAAAAAAAAAAAAA